TTTTTTTTTTAATTTTTATTTTTAACTCCTTTTGGGCAGCAATTATTAGAGAACATTTCAATAACCTATTTTTGGACATATATGTGTCAATAAGTTAGGTGTGATGAGTATAGATGTATTTACTTAAATTAAAAGTTTATGAAAGCAATGTTTTGGGAAAAGAAAACTAGAAACAAAAATAAAAAAATTAAAATACTACAACGTATAATAGCAACTACAATTTTTTTGGTTTAATTACCAAGAAGTTATTTATTATGGGTAAAATTGTATTTTTAGTCCCATGATTTTAATATTTTTTTGTTTAACAGGTCGCACACCTGACAGTTGTGTGTGAGTCTCCCAACAAGGGTTTTCTGCATCTACAATGACTCGAACCCGAGACCTTACTTAAGCGGCATCCAGCTGCTTACCTCTTGAGTCAACTCATGTTGGTCACGATTTGAACTTTTTGTCTTTCGATCTTGTAATTTAGTATTTGCTGTAATTTCAATTATTTGAGACTGAAATTGCAACAAGATTTAAAATTACAGGACTTGAATTGCTAATAATAAATCAACAGCAATTTAAGTTCTGTAATTTTTAATTTAGTTGAATTTTCAGTTCCAATTGGCTGAAATTGCGTTCGATTTAAAATCATATGATCAATAGCAAAAACGTTCAATTCTTATGACTAAAAACGTCACTAGATAAAACCAACATGACTAAAATTATAATTTTACCCTTTATTTTACTTATATTTAGGTGATTGTGGGTATTATTTTTAATTGAGCCATATATATGTACAAAGTCAAGGGTAATTTTGATATGGTTACATGCACGAATGTTTTTCTCAGCATCATACCACTTTAGATATACCATATAATAACATTATCAATTATTCATTAGCAAGGATAGATAATTTTTTTTCAGTCTTTTATTACATTTTTATCTCTTCTATAAATTAACGTTATAAGTTCATCACTGAATTAATTAATTTATAATTAGTTATCCTTTAATTTGTCATTTGCACTTTGCAGCCATATTTTCAATATTATATCAATTATTGAAATCTATATTAGCTATCAGCTCAAAAATAATTTATCAAATATCTATTAATTTATTAACTTTTCAATTAATTAAATATATCAAACATAAATTTAGGATTAGGAAATTAACCATAGCTTAAATTTCGTTTTGTTTATTCATATGTTTTGAACCAAACAATAATTTATTTATTCAATACTCGAGAGCACCGTTGCGTTGCCCTGTTATCGATATTGGAACCGAATATTTTGACATAATAATAATAATAATAATAATAATAATAATAATAATAATAATAATAATAATAATAATAATAATAATAATAATAATAATAATAATAAAACTCACTCCATAATTTTAAATCCATAACTAAGGTTGCAATTTGTATTCCCCATACAAATATTGTTCTTAATCCATAAGTTACATTGCAATTTGCATCCCCCATACAACAATGTACTAATATTTTACTTTAACTATGACTAAAATTTAATATTTTGGTAGTACTTTTATTAATTTATTTATATCTTTTTTTTTTTTTCTAATGTGAGGTGGTTTTTGGGCAATTGATTTACAGCTGTACTCTATCATTTAAACTTTTATATTTTATTATGGTTTGAGGGAAAAAAAAAATTGTAATAAGATAAAATAAAGTTCATTGAAAAAATTATTAGTGAACAATGTATTATTCATTTATTTTTGTAGTTCATAAATAAAAACAATATACTATTAACTTATTTTTTATTTATATTTTAAATTTAATATTAACCATTAGTTTTGTCTATTAATTAAACTTATTATCAATGAACTGTCAGTATTTATAAATTATAACTACGAAATATTATTTAAAAATTTATCCATCACACTATAATGAAGTCTTTCATACATTTTTTTTTTTTTTAATAAATAGAGGTCAGTTAGCACTTAGCACACAGCCCGAGAGCAAGTGTGTGAAATTGGGTTTCTCACCCACACGTGCGGTTCACGATTTCCATGCACACCCACACGCACAAACACTTTTCACATATTTTTAATTAATTAAACTTTTTTCAAATTTTGCAGTTAAATACATTAATTTAAACCCACTACAAAGTACAAACACACACACACACACACACACACACTGGGTGGTTTTTGCCTTGGCTTCAGTCACCATCTTCTTTCTGCGTCGGTTACTCAACAATGGATCTGCAAAACCCGACGAACATTGTAGTCGCCGACTTGACCGTTATACCCCCGCAACCGAACCCCGACGAGAGGCGGACCAGGGGCATTTTCGGTACGGAATTTGATCGGAAAATCGGGCGCCCAAAGAAGTTATGCGCCAGAGGGCATTGGAGGCCACATGAAGACGCCAAGCTTAAAGCGCTCGTCGCCCAGTTTGGCCCTCACAATTGGAATCTCATCGCCGATAAACTCCCCGGAAGATCAGGTCAGTTAGTCATCGAATTTTTTACCGTTGAATCAACACACACGCACACACCCATTTGGGTATGTGTGTGTTTATCCAAACTCGGTAATACAGTGCAGTCACAGTCGAATTTTCCTCATTAATTTAGTTATTGAGTTTTTCATTATTGAATTTTCTCATATATGCAATTATTAAATTATTCATCATTGCAATATTGAATCAATATTCACTACTATAGTAACTTTATTATATAGTAACTTTTAGTATTTTATGGTTCAATCTTCCCCAAGTTCATGTATTATTATTTTCATTTTATTTTATTTTTTTTCTCAAGATATAGTAATTTCAATATTTTAGGGTCCAATCTTCCCCATTAATGTATTTATTTTCATTTGTTTTTCTCCAATATATAGTGATTTTAAGTACTTTAGGGTACTTCAATCTTCCACATCAACTTATTATTTTCATTTTATTTAATTTTATTTTCGCCAATATATAGTAAGTTATGTAATTTAGGGTTCAATCTTCCCCCCTTCAATGTATTATTTTCGTTTCATATTTCATATTTTCTCCAATATATATATATATAACAATTTTAGTATTTTTTGCTTATTATTATAGGGAAAAGTTGCAGGCTAAGGTGGTTCAACCAACTAGACCCAAAGATCAACAAGGGCCCATTTAGTGAAGAAGACGAACGAAGGCTCTTGGCGGCCCACAGTCTATACGGAAACAAGTGGGCCCTGATTGCCAAGCTATTCCCAGGCCGGACAGATAACGCCGTCAAGAACCATTACCACGTGGTCATGGCCAGGAGGAGCAAGGAGTCTAACGGCGTTTACCGGAGGTTGGTGAGTAAACGGCCCCGTTATTCGTCCGGGAACGCGTGTAGCGACTCGTCGGCGGCAACGATTTCAAGCAATACTAATAACGATAGAGTTGATAAGAAGTATTGTTGTTATTCCAATGCTGGTTTTTTCCGGCGGTTCGTGGAAACGGGTACGATTTATTGATAATTGCGAAAAATACCCCTACATTTCGGTTTATTTACTAAACGATCGTTTTTTTAACATGATATACAAATTGTTTTGCAGATCAAAAATCAGATTCAAACTGTGAAAGTTTTGCAGTATCTGAGTCAGTAAGCAAAAGCAGCAATATTAGGTCCAATTATCTCTATATGAAGACTGAAAAAATACCATTCATTGATTTTCTTGGTGTGGGGGCCACTTGAGAAATTAATCTAATTAGTACAAAAAAAAAAAAAAAAAAAANNNNAAAAAAAAAAAAAAGACAAAGGAAAATTGAGTATAGGATGATGGGTCATTGAGGGTAGGTCTCAATTAATGGACATTGGCAAGTGCCAAGAATTTGGCTTGTTTTGTTTAGCAAATTATTATTGTCTCTCTATGTAATGTAATTGTGCACAAAAATGAAAGATTGGGATTTGCATGAAGAGTTAAATGTCTTTTCATCATTTTAAGGATAAATCATATGTATATATAAAAAGATAAATGCTACGTTTCTGTTACGGAACCATTCTGTCGGGGTTTATAATCGTTAGATCAACGTGTAATCGTATAGTTAATCTAGCGGTTACAAACTGCGACGGAATGGTTCTGTAACGAGACCGTAGCATCTCCTATATATATATATGTGTGTGTGTGTGTATGTGTTTTATATTCAATTCGTTGAAATTATTCTGATATTTTTTATTTTATTTTTACATGTGTGTTGTGGAAAGATTTTTTTTTTTTT